CACACACACACACACACACACACACACACACACACACACACACACAAAGAAATTATAAAAACTAATGAAAGTATTCTCTAAATAACAAGAAAAATAGAGAAGAAACCTATCCAAAAAGAAACATGAACCACTAGAAGATGATTAAGGACACTGTCTGTCATCTTCACTCAGTCTATTTTGACTTTCCTACAATTTCAAACTTTTGTCCAACCTTTGTCCACAGGTTCTGTAGAGCAATACACTTGCCTTAATGTTCCCTTTTCAACTTCTCAACTTATATTTATAAGCTATTACTTATGTAACTAAGCTCAAACACTTAGAAATGCTGCGCTATCAAACTAAAAATGACTGATCATTGATGCAATTTCCATAGACTAAAAATCTGACAAATACTTATAAAAGGTTGGATATGTAATGGGAGAAAAATCACCTACTCATGACTCTAAGTGGCTCTCAACCTTCCTAATGCTGGGATCCTTTAATACAGTTCCTCATGCTGTGGTGACCCCCAACCATACAATTATTTTTGCTGCTACTTCTTAAGTGTAATTTTGCTACTGTTATGAATCAAAATGTAAATATCTATGGTTTTAGATGGTCTTAGATGATCTTGAGAACCACTGCTCTAAATGCTTACAATTAAGCACACTACAAAAAAATCTAAAGAAACTCACAAGTGTCGGGTGGTAGTGGCTCACACCTTTAATCCCAGCTCTCAGGAGACAGAGCCAGGTGGATCTCTATGAGTTCAAGGCTAGCCTGGGCTACAGAGTGAGTTCCAGGAAAGGCTCCAAAGCTACACAGAAAAACCCTATCTCGAAAAAACTAAATAAACAAACAAATAAGATTTTTACAAGCTTCAATGCAGTTCAACTGCAATCCAATAGTAAAACAAATCAGCTGGTTTTAAAAAGTTATTTGAAACTGAAAAAGCATGAATATAGTTTAGTAGTAGAATTGGCTTAGTATGCACCAGGCCTGACCTGAAATCAAGCACCAAAACCAAATCTTTGTTGTTTTTCAAGACAGGGTTTCTGTGTAGCCCTAGCTATCCTGGAACTGTGTAGACCAAGCTGGCCTCAAAATCAAGAGATTCACCTGCCTCTGATGGATTACAGTGCTGGGATTAAAGGCATGCACCACTACAGCCGGGCTCCAAAAACAAATCTTAAAAATATTAAAAATACCATATGACTAGTCAACAGGCAGGGGTGTAAAAAATAAAACAAAACAAAGAACCTGTGGACCTCAATGCCATTTTGCATACTATCTCCAACTACTTTCAATGCAACTATCACAACAGAGTCATCACTAGGAGTATTTCACCTCTGACCCCAACACTGGCAGTTAAGCTCCATAAGAGCTCACAATGAACAAGTACAGAGCATATTTTGTACAACTTTGCATCTAAATCTCACTTGTTTCCTCACCCTAAACATAGCATCAGCTCTAAATACGGACTTAGAATAAAATCTAAAGACTAAATTGTGGCTTTCACACAGTCCAAGACTTCAATGTAACTAGACTGTCATAGAATGAACACATTGCTGTTTTATTGCTTAGGGTCTTTGGGTTGCCTCTATTATTCCCCATATTAATTTCCCTTAACACTTGGCTGAGAAAGGTAGAAGACTCAGTCGAACATAGACATCAGAACTTGTCAAGGGAGTTTAAGTTAAATTTAAATGCTTCCCTCTTGTTCTTACATAACACTTATATTCTAAAGTCAGTTCATTTCACTAACAACTTATGAAGCAGTTTTGCAGACAACCAAATCGCCAGGAAAACCGATGCCAATAAAAAAAAAAGTAAATCATGCAAAAAAGAAAAAAAAAACATTTCCTTGAATTCTGCCAGGATAAGTCCGTTTTGCAAACTAATCAAAATTCTTGAGTCTATAGGTGAGTTTTTAATTCTTTTAAAAAATCTAGCAAACACATCTACAAACTTTCTATGTCAAAGGCTCTGGTTGCTAGTCTACACCTTTAATCACCTTTATCACACAGGTGTGACATTCCTTAAAAAACCTGAATGGGTGGCCAGCTGCTGGCAAACCCAAACCATGACAAAAAAAAACCCCACTCTTCTGCCTTCCGGGTAACTACCAACGTGCTGCACGCTCGGTGAGCATCTTGCTTCAATCAATTTCGGAATAGTGCTTTAATTAAGAGGAAAGCAGTGTAGGATGGGAGGGGGGAAATCAAAGGGAAAAGCAGGATTGAGGTGCCGGAGTTCAGCAAAAGCGCTTGAATTTCGATCCTCCGGACTCCAAACGCTGTTCTCCGACTTCCACACGGGAGCCGAGGCACGCGCTGCCGCCTCCATGCTAATTTTTTTTCTTTTAAATTAAAAAAAAAAAAAAAAGACGATCCCGAAAGTTTCTATTTCCAATGTCAGTGTTCGCTGGCTATCTTCCGGACGGTCAAGTCGCGTTAAGAGCGGAAGAATCGACAGAGTCGTCGGAGGCGTGCGCGCTGCGCCGAGCAGATGAATGAATGGAAGCCCGGCGCGTGTGAAATGCAGGGCTCCGGCCAGCCGACCCGCGGCCGCGATCTGTAGGCCTCGCTCCTCCCCGCCCCCCCTCACTCCTCCATGACAGCCCAGTCCCGGTGCGGAGGGGGCCGGGACAATGTGATCACCTTCTCGGCCGCCCCCGGCCCCCGGCCCCGAGAGGTGCGTGGCGCGACCCCGGGGCGTCCTCCCACTCCAGCCCGCAGCTCCGCGGCTCTCCGCGGGACGCGCTCGCCCTCTTGCCGCGCCCCTCCCTCCCTCTCTCCCTTCCT